CGACGCATACGTTTTCCATTTAGGATCGTAAACGTACTCGCGACCGCGAAATTCAACGGATCTTTTAATTCGATTATTTTGCACGGACGAACGACAACTCGTTTACACGTACACGTACACGTACACGTGCACACGAGAGTGTGCAGCATATATATATATATGTATCTAATCCGCATGATGCATAGTCGACCGGGACGAAAATTATTATTCCACTTGCGAATTGCTAACGATCAAACGATCCTAGAGAATGTAGTCGTAACGTAAAACGCATGCCGAGAAGTTAATTAGCGTATATATTGTTTATAACGCTGTAAATCACAATGTCTTTACGTTTATCGCAGAGTAAGTAACTACGTGTAGACTTTTGTATTCTCTTTTTGCCGACCGTTCACGAATGAAATCTTTCCCGTGAAACTTCGCCGCATGATCTATCATACAGGGTGTAATTAGGGAGCACCAGGGTGTAAATAGGGAGTACCATAATGTAAAAATTATGGTAGTTCCAGGAAATAAGTGGTTCCTGAGGTCATTCGAAGTAACTTTTTCCTTTGCGAAAATGCGATCCGCGGCTTCGTTCGCGAGTTACGAACGAAAAAGCGCGGACCAATAAGAGGCGAGCACGGCTAGCGCGCGGCGGCCGAGCCAATCAGCATCAAAGCTCGATTCCGCGCATTGGCTCGGCCGCCTCGCGCCAACGAAGCCCGTTCCGCGTATCCAGTGGGCGCCGCGCGCCAACCGAACTCGCACCTCACTTTTTGTCAGCGTTTTTCGTTGATACAGTAAATTCTCCCTAATTGACCCTCAGCTTGGAAACGAAAATGGGCAATTTCGGAAAAAGAATGGATTTTATAGTTGTTGAAAATCGATAGCTATAAAAACGAGCCGCAAGGCTCGAATAATCGTATCTCCTCTTTCCAAATTGTCCATTTTTGTGTACAAGCTGAGAGTAACAATTAAGAAGAATTTAAACTCGTAAATAAAGCCGCTGATTGCATTAGTCGTCTTTGTCAAAAATCCATAAAATTATTCTTGTATTTAGTGCAATAGTTGCATATCGAAAAGGAGGTTACCATTCGTAGCAACCAAATTATTATCGGGAAAATAAAAAACTTTCCAATTTATTTTTAACCACATTATTTTAGACGTCCAGCTTTTTAAATGTAAAAATGTCCTGGCGATTATTGTTATCGAGCAGCGGGCGCAAGGAATTCCATCAATGGGATCGATCGATCGATACTTGCAACAATCCAAGTTCCAGCTGTGGTCGTTCACACTCCGGACACAGGCACAGTCAATCTTACTTGTCAATTCAGTTGAGACATTAACCCACATAGTTGTAATTGTCGGGGTGTGACTCATCGCACCACCGAGACCGGTGCTCGCAGGCCATCAGCTTCCGTGTAGTTAGGGTCTCGAGGATCGATCAATGATTGTTCAGGTTGCAAGGACTTCTTCGCAGCCTGGGATTCCATTATACACGCTTTCCATCCGTTTAACCCAGTTGCAGTTGCGAAAGAGACGTGTATAGCGGTAACGATTATCTTATAGTTCACTAAAGCATAAAACCATCTTCGAAAACGTCTGCAAACAAGATGACGAATACGTACAAGGTTCCCCGAAAAATATCTCCCAATCCGGAAATGGTGAGTTCCTAAGGTCATTTGAAGTAACTTTTTCCTTAGCGAAAATGCGATCCGCGGCTTCGTTTACGAGCTGTCTCTTATACACATCTATGAGAGGCGAGCGCGGCTGGCGCGCGGCGGCCGAGCCAATGAGCGGTGCTGGGCCTGTCTCTTATACACATCTATGAGAGGCGAGCGCGGCTGGCGCGCGGCGGCCGAGCCAATGAGCGGTGCTGGGCCTGTCTCTTATACACATCTATGAGAGGCGAGCGCGGCTGGCGCGCGGCGGCCGAGCCAATGAGCGGTGCTGGGCCTGTCTCTTATACACATCTATGAGAGGCGAGCGCGGCTGGCGCGCGGCGGCCGAGCCAATGAGCGGTGCTGGGCCTGTCTCTTATACACATCTATGAGAGGCGAGCGCGGCTGGCGCGCGGCGGCCGAGCCAATGAGCGGTGCTGGGCCTGTCTCTTATACACATCTATGAGAGGCGAGCGCGGCTGGCGCGCGGCGGCCGAGCCAATGAGCGGTGCTGGGCCTGTCTCTTATACACATCTATGAGAGGCGAGCGCGGCTGGCGCGCGGCGGCCGAGCCAATGAGCGGTGCTGGGCCTGTCTCTTATACACATCTATGAGAGGCGAGCGCGGCTGGCGCGCGGCGGCCGAGCCAATGAGCGGTGCTGGGCCTGTCTCTTATACACATCTATGAGAGGCGAGCGCGGCTGGCGCGCGGCGGCCGAGCCAATGAGCGGTGCTGGGCCTGTCTCTTATACACATCTATGAGAGGCGAGCGCGGCTGGCGCGCGGCGGCCGAGCCAATGAGCGGTGCTGGGCCTGTCTCTTATACACATCTATGAGAGGCGAGCGCGGCTGGCGCGCGGCGGCCGAGCCAATGAGCGGTGCTGGGCCTGTCTCTTATACACATCTATGAGAGGCGAGCGCGGCTGGCGCGCGGCGGCCGAGCCAATGAGCGGTGCTGGGCCTGTCTCTTATACACATCTATGAGAGGCGAGCGCGGCTGGCGCGCGGCGGCCGAGCCAATGAGCGGTGCTGGGCCTGTCTCTTATACACATCTATGAGAGGCGAGCGCGGCTGGCGCGCGGCGGCCGAGCCAATGAGCGGTGCTGGGCCTGTCTCTTATACACATCTATGAGAGGCGAGCGCGGCTGGCGCGCGGCGGCCGAGCCAATGAGCGGTGCTGGGCCTGTCTCTTATACACATCTATGAGAGGCGAGCGCGGCTGGCGCGCGGCGGCCGAGCCAATGAGCGGTGCTGGGCCTGTCTCTTATACACATCTATGAGAGGCGAGCGCGGCTGGCGCGCGGCGGCCGAGCCAATGAGCGGTGCTGGGCCTGTCTCTTATACACATCTATGAGAGGCGAGCGCGGCTGGCGCGCGGCGGCCGAGCCAATGAGCGGTGCTGGGCCTGTCTCTTATACACATCTATGAGAGGCGAGCGCGGCTGGCGCGCGGCGGCCGAGCCAATGAGCGGTGCTGGGCCTGTCTCTTATACACATCTATGAGAGGCGAGCGCGGCTGGCGCGCGGCGGCCGAGCCAATGAGCGGTGCTGGGCCTGTCTCTTATACACATCTATGAGAGGCGAGCGCGGCTGGCGCGCGGCGGCCGAGCCAATGAGCGGTGCTGGGCCTGTCTCTTATACACATCTATGAGAGGCGAGCGCGGCTGGCGCGCGGCGGCCGAGCCAATGAGCGGTGCTGGGCCTGTCTCTTATACACATCTATGAGAGGCGAGCGCGGCTGGCGCGCGGCGGCCGAGCCAATGAGCGGTGCTGGGCCTGTCTCTTATACACATCTAGATGTGTATAAGAGACAGCTCGTAAACGAAGCCGCGGATCGCATTTTCGCTAAGGAAAAGGTTACTTCGAATGATCTCAGGAACCTACCATTTTCGGATTGCAAGGCATTTTTGGGACATCCTGTATGTATATACATATACTATAGTCATAGTGGCCGAAATAGTACAGTTTATTACATCGTATTCCGATTCTTGGAAGATATCGATCAAAGTGGAAAAGCATAACTTCGTAAGAATTAATAATATATAATATATAATATATATATTATATATTAACCTGTATCATTACATTTCGGCCACCGTGCCAGAACGTCACCGAAAGATCCCATATGAATCGGCGCCGTTGAAATTCTCCCCCGTGGTACGAAACCGATCCCATGGGCGTGGAGCGAGGCCCGCGAAACATTGGGAAACGATCGACGACGCGTTCGCGGGTCCAAGACTCGTGTCTGCCATAATTTTTCAGGAACTTCCGGCGGCTCGAAAACCCCCTGAAAATTATGCCGGCTACGTCGGGTACATAGGGACACGTTTAAGTAGATAGATATACATATATATACAGGTATGTACATACGGTGGCGTGTCGAAGCGTGATGAGCATACCGTAGGTCTGATTCGCTCGGTCGCTCGCTCGTTCGCTTATTCGCTCGCTCGCTCGCACGCTCGGCTGCGACCGGTTACTCACGTTGTGGGTATTCGTCGCGCATTCTACCCACCGCTAGTATTCTAGTATTCCGTGGCGTACTCAGAGCACCCTCGGAACTACGGGGCTACGTGACCGGCATCGGCGCCGCGGCTCTTTCGAGAAAGGCGCCTTCCAATCCACGAATTGCAAAATATTCCACAATTACGGAACTCGCCGGTCGCCCGCGCGAGCGCGCTCGCGCGGCCGGCGTACATACGCGGCCGTTCCTTGCCCGCTCCGCGCCGCTCCCCTCCCCTCCCCACCGCACCGCACCGCACCGCACCGCACCACACCGTCCTGCACCGTCCCGTGCGCCTAGGCCAATCGATATTTCTCCGGGAATCGAACGGACGCGCGAATGGGACACGTACTTCCGCTCGAAAATATTTCACGACGGTTCCATCGAAAAATAGCCCGCGCGAATGCTCTGCATACAGTGGCGCGCGAAGGTGTTTTTCGTACACCTTTACAAAGTGGACCAAATGACTTGAATTTTTTTTCAGACGATAGCGAGACATTGTCTACTAGACAATAACTGAGTCAATGACTTTTTTTTAAATTTTTCTATTACTTGCAACGACGAAGAAGGAATTAAGAGCTCTCGTTTTTAACTTTTTTTTTATCTAAGCCTAAAACGAAAATTTTAAAAATTTGAGAGAAAATCGAGAAGAATGAAAATATGTAGACATTTCGAAATTGAAAACTTTGAGTCTTCTTACGCTTGTATCGTGTGCATCGTCTTATTCCTGCTTTTTATTTATCACGTGGCTTGTATCAAGTACCGTGGAATCTAATTAATACTGTTCACATTATTTTCCCGCGGGTCGGTGTTATTCAACGAATCCGTCCGAGGTTCTGCTTTCCCAAGAAAGCCATAGGCTAGCTTTTATTTATTAATTTATTTATTAAGGCCGTGACACCGCACGCATTTTCACTTACACCTTGTACGACACCCGACGTCTGACATTAACAGGTGCTCGTCAATATTTATTTCTAAATCGTCCCGTATATCCAGCGAGACTCGTAAGTGTTCTGCTTAACGACCGGAACATAAAATTCAGCTTAATATAGAGGCGATCGTCCGTTGTTATTATTATGAACATTATAAAAATTAGCCCTGCAGCTTTCCTTAGGATTTACGCACCCTTTAATCCTGGCAGCGATGGCTTCTATCGAATAAATAAAACTTTATGTACAAAACTTTAATTGCATGCAACCTGCTAGTTACATTATTTATATTCGTTCACAGTGAATTCTCCCTAATTGACCTTGTCACTATCGGCTTGTACACAAAAATAGACAATTCGGAAAGATTATTCGAGCCATGCGGCTCGTTTTTATAGTCGCCAATCGTCTATTTCTGTTTCCAAGCTGAGGGAGAAATTAGGGAGAATTTACTGTAAATGGTACAATACATAATATAATATAATATAATATAATATATAATATAATATATATCGTATGAAAATATAATCTTTCAGCGTTTACTAAATAATTTCAACAAGTTTTTTTAACAAGATTTTTAAAACGTGAATACACACATATTTTCACCCAGATAATATTCTAGCCGGTTCTCGAGACGAATTCCACGATAGCTATAAGCTTAGATCTTGAAGCGACGACGCGAAGACAATTTTGGCCACGGATCGTAGCTCGCCGAACCAACAACGTGCGTCGCCGCGGCCGGCAGAGCCTCCCCCCGAGAAGCGCGCGAACGGCGTGTCGGTCTCGCGCGGAGGTGTACCACGATGGCGGCGACCGGCGCGACTCTTTCAGGCTACCGTTTCCGCGACACAGATACGCGGGAGCTTCTCGCGAGAGTCTTACTCCAGTGAATCGACTACCGTTAGCCGCGTATATTTGGTAACGGTTCGCGCGGACGATGGGTAATTGCGTGCGAAGAACGCGGCGGCGGCGGCGGCGGCGATGGTTCGAGACGAGCCTGGAAAGTCGAAAAAAGAAGCGGTCCATTACGGGCACGCACGTGCGCCGGCTTTTATCGTCGCGGCGAGCCGCGTCGCGCCGTGCAGCGCCGCGCCGCGCCGCTCCGGCTGTAGGTGAAACCGTTCCCGTTTCCCAGTGGTCATGCGTTGCCCCCCCCCCCCTCCGTCGGGGAGCTGCGGCGGCGACAACGGACGGTCCATCTCTCGCGCTCTCCTTTATTCGTTGCGGTGGACTCTTGCGCGCGGTTTCTGTATCGCAGCGCGCACGATAAACCGCTTATCTCGCCGGCTACGACACAACGACGACGACGACGACGCCGGGAGAGTGGGGGGAGCGCGGCTACGGGGTCCACCGATGCCGGCGGCTCCGCGGCCAGAGGGGTTCGGAGGCGGCAGAGGGGGACTTATCGGTATTGACACGCGAGGGCAACGTGACTTTCTAGCGAGCCAGCAGCAGGATCGATACAAAAGTTTCTTTTACGTGTTGCACGCTCGTAGGCATATGTATAACCTACGTATACGTACGTCGTCCGTGTCGTGCCGTGCCCCGGCTGTTTCGTTGCGTTGCGTTGCGTTGCGTTACGCTTTTCCTCCGCCCAGCTGGCAAAGGGCTGCGAACGAGCCTCGGATACGTACCCGGTCAGACGATCGGTCGCTAACCGCTGTTAACCCTTTGGAATCACCAGAATTGTACCTTTGTCTTTAGTTTTGGGAACAGTTTTTCGTCTTCGTGCTCATTCCAGTGTCGACGATACGGCGACATTAAATTATTAACGCTGCAAGGTAATAGCGTAAGATATACATACGTATATGTAAATACATAAAATTGTTTATTTATTAATTGTTATAAAATTTCGCGGCGGTGTAATGATTTTTATTTCCATTCAATTTTTGGGATATTGTAATAAAATGTTATATATTGTACTGCTGTGAAATTTTATACCAATTAATGAATGAAAAATTTTCTGCTTTTATTTATGTATTTTACGCGATTTATTATGCATATGTGTATACATATATGTGTATATTGGCACTTATTGGTAGGAATGTCGATAGGAAAAGCTTCTGAGTGCAAAGGGTTTCGGTATATTATAATAAAATGTTATATATTATACTGCTGTGAAATTTTATAGCAATTAATGAATGCAAAATTTTCTGAATTTATTTATGTATTTTACGCGATTTATTATGCATATATGTATGCATATACGTGTTTATTAGCATTTATTGGTAGGAATGTCGATAAGAAAACCTTCTGAGTGCAAAGGGTTTCGGTATATTATAATAAAATGTTACATATTATACTGCTGTGAAATTTTATAGCAATTAATGAATGCAAAATTTTCTGCATTTATTTATGTATTTTACACGATTTATTATGCATATGTGTATACATATACGTGTATATTGACACTTATTGGTAGGAATGTCGGTAGGAAAAGCTTCCGAGCGCAAAGGGTTAAGTGGAAGCGGCTAGCTCATTTCCATCTGCGATCATTATAGTTGAAACATGATTCTACGAAACACTATGGCAGCCTGGAGGAGAGGTAAATCATCCCTCGGATCGCACCCGCGCCATCTTAGAGCGGGCTCCCGCGACGCAATCATCTCTCAACGTATCGACGTTTTACGTTATATTTAAAAATTCATCTCTCCTTGGTTATCGCCGGCTCTGTCCTGCATCATCGTTTCCACGTACGCTCTCGACCCACTTCACACTAAACGAGATGCTTTTAAAATATCTCTGCGCGCGCTCCGCTCGCGAACGCCCGATACTCATCGATTCAATGATAAATTCACCGCTATGTATTTACAGATGAGTCTGAAACGGCGAGACGGCACTGGTCGCCGAGAGTACAATAAATTCGCGATCATTCGGCGTTGTGTCTATCGTTGTGTTGCAGCGAACCACCCCGAAGACGGATAAATCGCTGTTCTAATTCAATACTGAGATATTTATAAAAAGAAGGAACGCGTGATTTGAAGATATCCTAATATTTCATAGATATTAAATATTTCATACAAGATATTAAAATATCTATATTTATATATATTTCTTTTTTATTATATTTATAGAGATTTCTTTTTTATTAAATTTATTCATATTTGTTTTATTTTATTTGTTATTATATTTATTCGTATTTATTTTATTTTATTTTATTTTATTTGTTATTATATTTATTCATATTTATTTTATTTCATTTTTTATTAAACTTATTCATATTTATTTTATTTTATTTTTTATTATATTTATTCATATTTATTTTATTTCATTTTTTATTAAACTTATTCATATTTATTTTATTTTATTTTTTATTATATTTATTCATATTTATTTTATTTCATTTTTTATTAAACTTATTCATATTTATTTTATTTTATTTTTTATTATATTTATTCATATTTATTTTATTTTATTTGTTATTATATTTATTTATATTTATCTTATTTTATTTGTTATTTTATTTATTCATATTTATTTTATTTTATTTTTTTATTATATTTATTCGTATTTATTTTACTTTTTGTCAACACACGTTAGCACGAAATTTAGTAAAAATAATATTTCGTTATTTCCGAAAACCACTTTATTATTAAACCTAATTATTTAAACATATCTCGGTATCGACTTAGAACGCAGCTTGTTACGCGCACGATGCGATCGGCGCGAAATAAAAATAAATGCGGAAAGATCCTTGACATAACCTCGTGTGTAAAGTTCAGAATTCTTCAGAAGGGAACGCGAATCTAATTCCAATCGGCGATGGAAGAGCGGATTCGTGAATTTGTTCTCATTGCGGTATCGAAAAGAAAAAGACCAGCGTCGAGAAGCATTGAAAACCGTCGAGGATAAATCGTCGAGTGGCTCGCGTAATCGGATGAATATTTATAAAGCGTGTAATAATCCGTCTGGCGAGATTGTGTATACTATCACGTAACGTCTCTAATATAATCGAACTACGGCGGCGCGGTGCGACGGCACACGAGCCGGGCACCCACGTGTCAATAAACGTACAGCAACAACACAAACATAAATCTTAGATAAACTTTGGAAATTTCCTACGGCTAGAAACACGATTTCGTGGCTTGCGGCGGACACTGTCGGCCGAGGAAGAAGCGGCAAACATTATCTGATAACGGCGCCACGCTAACGGCTCGATCTTCTTCGTTAGTTTCCTCCGTCGGCGGCCGGGCTGTTCGCGGGGCACCCACGCGGTCGCTTCAAAAATTTCACGCCGTGCCGGCGACAATTGGCGACCATCTAGTATTATTATTTTTCTTTAGCTAGTATTATTTTTTCGTTCGAATAGTTTTCAAGTACGATCATTCCGGTGGGTCGGTTCGGGGGTTGTAGAAAAACCACCCCCGAGAATCATTCATGCGACTGACATCCGTTAAAAGTATTCGACAAAATGGTGTGTATTTTTTTTCCCTATCGAAACACGCTTCGATTTTCTACAGAGTCGCATATTCTGTATTCTGCATTCTACGGTGGTTAAAAACTACCCCCGAGAATCATTCATGCGACTGACATCCGTTAAAAGTATTCGACAAAATGGTGTGTATTTTTTTCCCTTATCGAAACACGCTTCGATTTTCTACAGAGCCGCATATTCTGTATTCTGCGTTCTACGTTGGTTAAATAATAATTGTTACTTTTACGTTCTCGGATGATTCGTTTTAAGCTCGCCGCTCGAACGTAACGGAACAGATATCGTTTTACGGCCGCATGGTTAACAACGTACACCGCACGAGCATGAATCATTTCTGAAAGAAAACGGCGTTCCTGAAAGAGAAAAAAAAAAGAAAAAATGGCGACACACAAGCGGAAACCGACGTTTCCTCCCGATCGTTGCACCGGCTGCGAAATCAAGGCGCGCGCGTACGTTTCCGTGAAGAAATTATGATGGACGACAGAAGCTCGGAGCATCCCGAGGTGACATAAATATTTATGCGTCTCTTCGAGAGCGAAAGCTGCGCTTTTGCGTGCGAGCCGCCCGTTGGCCCCTGATATTACGCGCGATAAGCCGCTTCGATAACAATTACGGTAATGTTTACGCCGATTCGTCCTCGGTGTCCACAGCGATGTTAATTAATAAGTACATATAATATATAATATATAATATATAATATATAATATATAATATAATATTATAATAATATAATAATATAATAATATAATAATATAATAATATAATAATACAATACAATAATATAATAATATAACAATATAATAATATAATAATACAATAATACAATAATATAATAATATAACAATATAACAATATAATAATACAGTAATATAACAATATAATAATACAGTAATATAATAATATAATAATATAACAATATAATAATATAATAATACAATAATACAATAATATAATAATATAACAATATAACAATATAATAATACAGTAATATAATAATATAATAATATAACAATATAATAATATAATAATACAATAATACAGTAATATAACAATATAATAATATAATAATACAATAATACGTCCGATCGATAATAGAAATAGTCCGCATTAATTCCAATTAATAGAAACAAAACACGGTAAAATTCTTTCTAATTGATCGTCAGCTTGGAAACGAAAATGGACAATTTGGGAAGAGGAGGCTCGAATAATCGTATCTCCTCCAACCCTTTGCACTCGAGTGGTGACTCTGAGGCACCGCTAAAATTTGTTACATCTCGTTTTAAGATAATCTGTGTACTAATAAAGTCCAGATTAAAAAAATTGTTAACAGTGCAACTGTTGCGCGGGTCCCAATAGTCAATATCGTATGCATAAAATGCATTTTGTCATATAAAATAAAAATACTATAAGTGGGAAAAACGATTCTACATTTTATTGTACTAATAAAGTTCAGATTTAAAAAATTGCTAAGAGTGCAACTGTTGCGCGGGTCCCAAGAGTCAATATCGTATGCATAAAATGCATTTTGTCGTATAAAATAAAAATACTATAAGTTAGAAAAACGATTCTACATTTTATTGTACTAATAAAGTTCAGATTTAAAAAATTGCTAAGAGTGCAACTGTTGCGCGGGTCCCAAGAGTCAATATCGTATGCATAAAATGCATTTTGTCGTATAAAATAAAAATACTATAAGTTAGAAAAACGATTCTACATTTTATTTATTACAATTTATTACAATTTACAGTTGAAATAGCTTCGAGCGCAAAGGACTAATAATTGTACACAAACTATTAATATATAGTCGCGAAAGCGTCAAACGCTGATATCGAAGATCGAAATGCCGTGAAAATAATCAACTACGCTCGAACGATTTCTCGTTGACGGTCGGAAAAGCGTCGAAATTTAAAGTCGGAACGTCGATTATCCGCTGTCTCGATCTCGATCAGATAACGGACGGACAGAGGAAGCGGGGGGGAAAAAAAGAGGATCAGGGAAAAGAGAAAACGTCAGTTCGGCTCTCGCACCCTCTTCTTTGTTTCGACGCGCCGTTAAAGCCGACGCGGCGCGGCGCGGCCGTAGAAACACCTGACGTCGCCAGGCGGACGCCCGCCAGCCAGCCAGTCCGTGTACGTAAGTACATACCTGTGGCAGGTGAATCGAGTCAGGTGCCCCAGCAGATGGCTACCTTTACTCGAGAAAGCGTTATAAAAGCGGTCTAACATAAATGTGGGTTACTAGCTATGCCTAACGCCGTCCGTTAGACCAAGCTTCACAATTCACGCGTCGTTTCTGATTTCATTCGATGATCCTTCTACTCCTCCGTCTATCGTTCCAGCCGCACGATTCCGATCCGCTACAGCGAAGAACGTGATCGACGGATCGCTACGGTTTTTGTTCGATAAATCCGACCTGCCGGCCGGCTCGCTCGTAAGCGATACCGATCGATTCACAGGGTGTCCCAAAAGTGACTCGCAATCCGAAAGTGGCGGATTCGTCAGGTCATTCGAAGCAACTTTTTCCTTTACAAAAATTTTCTCCGAGGCACCGTTAACGAGTTATTATTAACGAAAAATAGTGACCAATGAGAGGCGAGCTCGGCTGGCGCGAGGTGACCGAGCCAATGAGCGAAACCGGGCTTCGCGCGTTGGTTGGCTGGGCCGCCTCGCGCCAGCCGTACTCGATTCTTATTAGTCGCCGTTTTTCGTTAATAACTCGTTAACGGTGCCCCAGAGAAAATTTTTGCAACGGAAGAAGTTGCTTCAAATGATCCGAGGAACCCGCCATTTCCGGATTGCGAGACATTTTTGGGACATTCTGTATATTTTCATAGGAATGTATACGAAGTTCCTGCAAGTTCTTGCAATCGAGGCACCAAGGTGTTTATTTTACACCAAAATCCGCGATCTACGTATTCGCGGTCACTGATATCCTCTTTCGTTTTAACGGCGCGGATTGCTCCTCGTTTTATTTATTTATTTATCAAGTTCGCATAGTTAATTCTCGGTCCGGCAGAATTTATAGAAACGGTTGGACAAAATTGTATCTTATATACTCTCTGTCAGAAATAAAATGAGGCTCTGCGATATTTCGCGAGACGTTAAAAATGTTCGGACACACGGGTTGCATAAAGATGCAAAACCGCGGAGTCTATTCTTAGACCGACCACACCGAAATCGTGTTCACTTTGAACACCGGCTGACAACAACTCCTAGCGGACTTCGTTATCGTGAAAAAATATTGACTTATCGAAACTCTGACACAATTCAGATATTTTTTAAATAAGTAAAATTTAACTTCGTAAATATTACACCCTTCTCATTTTAACACTATACTGTATTGTTCTGTAAGAACGACAAGACTGAATTTATTTAAACATTTCACCACTTTTACTGCAACGTATGCTTGAATCGAGAAGTTTATTCCATGTACATTCCTACAAAAAGAGTCTTTGTCGACAATCTCAAGCTAAAGAAATACGAAACCGGTCGAAACGATCTACATTGATAGGTTAGGTTTCGCGCGAAGTATTGTACGATAATAAGAAACAACCATGGACACGTTCAAAAACAGAGGACACGCGTGTACGTACGTATAAAAACGGATCGCGCGTGTCT